CCGTGGCAACTTGTGAACTGGCAAAAGGCAATGGGGGTCCGCTTTTGCCAGTCTTGATTCAAAGCTTATGAATGGACATCTCCTCGAATAGCGCCAAATTGTAAACAAGATTGTGCAAGAGGGGTTAGCTGCTGTGTTTTGATTATTCCGTGTGATGACGAGACGGCCGTAAACAAAATGATACTAGCGTAACTAAGCACGAATCGCGATTTTGGCACACCTTTAGAAAGATGAACGTCTACTCTTTCTTTTGAGCCGCTTGGCAGCTTCTAGAACCGAAATCTGACAAGTTGCAGAATCTCATAAAAAAAAAAACTCCTGCCCTGACCAAAATCGATTTTTTTACTGGCTTGCTAGACGTAAATTTTGGCGGCGGAGCCATTGGTGCTGTCCGTTTCATCTGAAAGAATGCCGAACATTTTTATAAAGCGGCTTTTGTGGTCAAATTCGCATTAGTGACTATTGGGCTATTAGTAAAATGCTGTTTCGTCATGGGCATCAGTATCATACTGGATAACAAATTGATACTTATGTCCACTTCTTCGTTCCCGCTCTCCAGCCAGAACCTCCGCATCTTCATCGCTCCAGTCTTCGTCGGTGTTATCATCTAACTCGTCGCTGTCGGCTTCGTCCTCGCTTTCTCTCAAGCAACCGTCTTCGGTTGCCTCTTGGTCAGACTCAGCTGTGTATTGCACAAGCTAGATATCACCTTGTTGTGAGGCATCGGGGCTTCCGCTGCGTAGGTCACTCACTGCTGGATTCAGATGCACTGGTTGGCAGCGCACCGCTGGATGAGGGCGCCGTGGCTGAAATCGACAGCGAGGGCGAAGGTAAAGGTGGGAGCTGGCGGAGTGGCATCGTTAGAGAAAGTTGCGCTTTTATCGTTGCCCTCACGAGCTCACTTTTGTGACTGTTTGGGTTTTCAAAGCACAAATTAGCCGTTTTCTCAAAACTTCGATTAACCCCCGGATTCTCCGGCATAGATAATATATGAATTAACGTATGTCTGGAAATCAGTACAATATACACTGTTGCAAGCCTGTTTCCTCGACACGTGATACAATGTAGGTGACTGATTGATTAATCTATGTTGATGTGCTGTGCAAAATCAGGATAAAATAACTGTCAATTGAGATCACCCGGCAAAACCGTTTCGCCCTGAACAGCAACGAGCCATTGAATGCAAACCATTCAGCACAATGACATTTTCATTCAATGCTTACTCCTCACTAGCGTCGCTATCAACCTCTACCCGGCGCTTTTTCACAAAGCGACTCTTGTGTTGCAGCGCTGCCGGGATCGCCGTACCATTCTTCCACGTCTGGTGCCAGATCTGGCTGCAGGTGAGTTGGTTTCCTCGGTCCAAACGACGAACCTATAGCAGAGCGTCACTCTCCCCTTCTTGTCGCGTGAACACGCCACGCAGTATAAGCTAGATTTGTAGCTACGAGTACCAGCACCTGCATGCGCTGAACAAACTTTACAGAGCCACTGCCTCCGCTTCACCCCGTTCGTTTCTTCTGTCTTCTCCAGTGTGTGGGCTAGCTGAGGCAGTGGCTCTGCGACCAGGTCCTCTAAGTCATCGCCATCAGTAAAGTCCTCCTTTGTTTGGCTGCGAAGGTCGGCGTGGAAGCGCCGCATGAACGCTGCATGCGTTGATACAGGCTTGTTTCTTTGCTTCATTACCAGCTTATGTACGATAAACGCATTCACCATTGCGATGTCTACCAGCCCGAGAAATATTGTTTTGTAGTATTTGCGCATTCTGGTCGACCGCTGTATGGAGTAACGCTGCAGCCGCAGCTGATCATGTACGTTTACACACCCCATAGCTTCATCGTAGTCGCGGACTAGCTACCGACAGGGTACCGTGATCACAGAGCCGTCTGCCTTCCTGGGCAAGCTGAGAGGAGCAACCGGTGGCGAGGAAACGCAAGGGCTTGTTGTCCATCCACGTGAGCGCAACTATCTCTGGGTGTTTTTTCCACACTGCCAAACGATATATACCTCGACGCATACGCTTCGGCCGCCGCTTCTGGTTGAACTTGATGCTGTACACCCCGTACGGACCTTCCTGATAGTCCCAACATGCGAGTGCCCCATACTCAACAGCTTGTGCGACAGAGGTACTGAAGTATAGAAGTTGTCTGTACAGACAAGTCGTTGGGCAGGCTGTCCACGCAGTACTTTGCTTAAATTCATCACCACGGATCTCTGTGCCACACTTTCTTCGTCAGTATTTGCTTTTCCGCATTAGATCTCAACTCTAAACCAACCAAACAAAATATAATCAGTATTGCCCAGAATAAGGTACG